AACAGCCAATCCTAGCTCCGCAGGCCGCTGGTGCAACAGCCAATCCTAGCTCCGCAGGCCGCTGGTGCGCTGAAGGACTCCATCCTGGAGTGAATTCACTGCAGAACCAGCACTCCTCCCCCGTGATGGTGTGCGAGGGCCAGTCCGGAGCTCTGGCATTGTGAGCAGCTTCAAGTGGCACGTGGAGTCCACGAGCTATCTAGGCAGCTGGGCCGTGAGGAGGGCAGGGAGCAGCGTCTGTGTGCTCAGCCTCAAGGACAAGGACAGAGCCACCCTGGCACATGCTCTGCCTGCCCCTTTCCAGATGGCAGCTCTGCTTAATGAACTGCGCTCAGAGCCACAAGGAAAGGGGCTTTCTGACGGGCAGAGTTATTAGTGCTCCGTTGTAATTATGCCTCCTGGTGTTTTCTCCACTGTGTCCCTCTCACTTGACCTGTTAGTGTCACCCAGCTACTGCCGGTGACAAGCACACTGAACTGCTGTAGGTGGGGGTGAGCATCAGGCCGACTGGAAAACAAAGGTCATGAGCCTTCTCTTTCTTGCATCAACTGAGTAGGCCTTTCTGGCCTTGCCTTGTGGGGAGCCCAGGAAGTGTGTCGTCTCGGAGACTCGCTGACGTTGGCGCAGGATCTGATTTCTAACATCTGGTGCAGACAGCCCAGTCAGGAAAGGAAAAGCACAACTTGTCAGGGACTCCTTCATGTCATGTCAGCAAGGTGGTAAGGGAAGGGAGAGAAGAAATGCACCCAGCCCTTCCAGGTAGCTCTGGCCACGTGAGGCCTGGACCTAGACAGGAAGTGTGAGGGGAACGGAAGGGAGGGGACCATCTTCCGTGGCAACCCTCCTGCCTGTCTCAGGACCAGCGCGGTGAGAACTGCGGAGGGCTCTCTCAAAAGTAAGAGGTTATCGAGGGAGGTTCTCCTGGTGGCGAACTCTCTTGACATTGGTCTGAAAAAGGTTTTCTTTTCCTGTATTCTCCAAAGACACGTATATAGGGTGTACCACTTTTGATTCTCAGCTTTTTGGAGCTGGGATCCCTCTACTTCTGGGCTTCTGTGCTGCTGTTGAGGAGGCTCATGGCTGTCAGTTGCTGTTCCTATGATCTAAGTTTCCTCTCTGCCTGATTTTAAGACCTGTTCTTTGCCTTTGGTATGAAGGCAATTTTACTACAGTGTGTCAGAGCGTGGACTTTTTTCTTTATTAGCCTGCTTGGGATTTACTATGATTCCAACTCTGGAAAGTCCTCAGCCTTTACTCTTCGAATATTGGCTCTTCCCACTTTCTATACCATCTGTCTCGGAATCCCTGCTTGGATCTGTGGTTGGCCTTCTCTCTCCTCCATGCCCCCATCTCTCAGGCCTTTATCTGTGGGGGAATTGCAGGAGACAGGGGCCGAAGTATGATCCTCCAGAAAAAATTTACATTTGCTTCTGCCATCTGCCAGGGACGCTTTCAACATTGGGCTGCTCTGAACTAATTTCCCGGTAATTAATTTCAGTCCTTTTTGGTATATGAAGATGGTGTGAATTCAAGCTCCAAACCTGCATGGAAATGGGGAAATTGGGATATTTATTTGGGAGAGATTGTTCTTCTTCCAAGGGCCAAAGTAACTTCAGACAAGTTTCCTTGTTTGTGTCCTTGTGAGCAGAAGTCACCCTCCTGCACCTCCCCTTTTATCCTTCTGCTGAGGGTGTAGTGTGTGGGGGATCCCTACCATTCCAAATCCCTGCCTCTCCCAGCATGGCGACAAAACCGAAGACACTGGAATAGGTGATGGAGGCCAAGAAACACTTGAGGGCAGTTGCTATCTTCTGTGGCCACTTTATTTTCACATCCTGAGTCTTTCTCCACTGCCCCAAGGGTTCTGAATTTTTTAAACATGTTATTCAGTATTTTAAATGGTTGTTGTTTGCTTGCCTATTTTGGAATGGAAAGGTTATCAGGATTTCTAGTCCATTATATTTCCAGAAATGGAAGTCCACATCGCCATGTATAATCCCCTCTGTGAAGAATTTGCCAGCCTCTCACTCTCTTGATCTTCCTTTTCTTCTTTGTAGGCTGGGGTGGGTGTAGCTGACGCTCTTCACTGTTGGCGGGGACCCACCCTCACCACAACAGGAGGCATGAACGGCAATCTCCTATCACGTGGAAAGAAAAGTATGGTGTTAGAAGCTCTGTATGTTTATCTCATACATTGCTTAGTTTCTATTTTTGGTATATATTTTATCATGTGCACATTATATTAGTATAGTAGTGCATGCTTGCAATCTATTAATAAATAAATATACATCTTTTAACTGACGGGGTGTATAGTCATGAGAGTTTCGATACTCCACTAACTTCTGAAGCCATTGAGAGCCATTCTCTATGTTCTTAGGATTTTCATGGCTGGAGAGAAAACATTCATTCAGAACTTTGCACGCACTGAACTCTACTTCTTCAGTCCAAAAACAGAAGGTCTGGCATGGGTTATGACAACAAACCATGTGTCAGTTTGGGGAGGGAATGTGCCTGCTAGGCCCAAGGCTGGGACACTGTGGTTGACCCTTGGATAGCCCCATTCTCTGAGACTCATTTCTGCTCCTCTGCTATATCCTATAATTTCCCTTCTTAACATTCCTCTCTACTATATATGCTTTTCCACAGCTTTTGCCTTATGCTATGGACGCCACAAAGATTTAATTTCTCTGTTTAAAGAAAAAAATAGAATTGACATGAGATATATAGATATATAGATATATATATATATATATATATATATATATATATATATATATATATAGGCACCTTCAAAAGCAATTGACAGCTCATGGCCCCACTCAGAGCTCACACTGGTTCTTCTCCTGGTACCTTGCCTGGGGCTCTTTGCTCTGAGCCTCCAACTGCTCTTTCAGCTCTCCTTGATGCATTTCCTTGGCCTGCCTGTCTTTATTCTCTGTCTGGGGTGTGTTTTCAGGCTTCTGAAGACAATTTCACCCTGCAAGGGGACACAAGCAATCAGAGTTCAAGGAAACCACCTAGCCAAATGACCACTGCCAAGGATGTCTACCAACAGGAGTTAGAGAGTCAAAACTTACTTCCCCATTTTGAAACTCAGCTTCAAGTCTTAAAGTACTTTCCTGATGGTGATTCCAGGACCCCCCATTCACAATATGACCCCAATTGTCATAGAGCAGGAAAATGCTCGGTCTGGAGCTATTTACTGCTTACAGTCTTAGAAGAGAGTAAACAGAAGGCTTAGACGACAGATATTATAAAATGTATGCATGTGTGTACGTGTATGAATTGGTATAATCCACAGATTTCATGAAGTCCTAAGAAAAGTTTTTAGATGCAGAATTGTGATAGTCTGGTTTATTAGTATGGAGAACCCATGGCACAAATGAACAAGAAATTTTGTGCTTCAAGGCTTCTGTGCACCGTCTCCATCGTCATAGACACATGGATTATGGGCATGTCATAGTTGGGTCATCCCCCAAGTCACAGCTGAATCTGGCATCATCTTGTTCTCAGAATCTTTGAGAAGTCTGGGTCCGTTAGTGTGGATGAAAACAGGTGCACATGGTGCTGCACTCCTGTGTGGTCAAGTGAAACAAGCTGGGTCTCCAAATAGGTCTGTGTTTTCTGAGCTGACAGCCCTCCCCTGTTGATATTTTCTCCTTAAGGAGCATATTTTTAAAAGCCTATTTCACAGAATCAATTTTAGTGGGCCCTTTAAAATGGGCAGTGAGCTGAAGGTAGTTCAGTTTGTTTTAACAATAACTTCGGCTTATTGAAGTGAGCATTAGTGTCTCATGCCCCCATATGGCAGCCATTAGAGACAGGGAAAGCTTGAGAGGCATCTTGCTCTGAGATAGCTAGTAAAATAATTGAAGGTATTTTTATAGGACCTAAAGATAGCACCAATAGAATAAGGACGAAACCCATTTGTAGATGGTAGGCGAGAAGAGGAAATCCTTGAGGAGTCAAAAGGTCTTCCAGCTCTGGTCTACAAGGTGTGGATGCTTTCAGGGGAGAGACTCATGGTTCATGTGTGTATTAATTTAATCGTTTATTTCCTCAGTCAAATCAGTCAACCAGCATGGATTGAGCACTTACTGTGTTCCCAGATGAGGTGGGTTCTGAGGATACAGGAATGAACAAGACACATTCCCTGCTTCAAGGACTTGCATATGGATGATAGACCAGGAAGGAGGTCACTGAGTGCAAGGGGAGGGGGTAGGTGGTAGAAAAGGCAGGGGGTGATATGCCAGTGCATGTGGGGGATGCAGGGATGCTTGACATTGGTCATGAGCCTTCTCTTTCTTGCATCAACTGAGTAGGCCTTTCTGGCCTTGCCTTGTGGGGAGCCCAGGAAGTGTGTTGTCTCGGAGACTCGCTGACGTTGGCGCAGGATCTGATTTCTAACATCTGGTGCAGACAGCCCAGTCAGGAAAGGAAAAGCACAACTTGTCAGATCCATTCTACAAAACTGCAAGAGGGAGAAAACAGGCTGTCCTTGAGCAACTGCTGGTAGCCCTCGGTGGCTTCCACTAGTTTGAGGAAGGGAATGTCAAGAGGTTACGCTGGAGAGGTAAGTAGGGATCCAGATCACAAAGAGCCTTCTGTGGTTCCCGGCAATGGGAAATCATTAAAAGCTTCAAAGCAGGGGAATGAGAGGACCAAATTTTCGTTTTGGAAGGATGGTGTCAGTAGCAATATGGGAATAGCTTCGGGCCGGGAAAGATGAGGACAAGAGGCAAGTTGGGAGCCTGCAAAAGTCATCAAGCCAGAGGATGAAAATGGCCTGCACTAAGGTGGCCGACATGGAAGAGAGAGCAGCGAACAGACTGAAGATATGTTAGGAAGGTAGAATTAACAGAACTTGAGAATGAGTTGAATGTGGGAAAAGGAAGGAGGAGAAAAGCTAAGGCTAATGCTTATGTTACTGGTGGGAGTGATGGTACTGGTTGCTGACGTGGTGAACACGGGGGAAAGAGTCTAGGGGGACAACGGTGCATTACATTTTAGAGATCTCGCATTTATCTCTGGGATATCCAACGGACCCTTAGACATATGTTTCTGGAGCGCAGTACAGGGAACTGGCAGGACTTATACATTTGGGAGTCACCAGCCTACTGTTGGTATCAGAGACAGTGAGAATGGGATGAGCTTATTCTAAGGAGAGGGTAAAGAGGAGAGGTCTGAGGAAAGAGCCTGCGGGAACCCAGCAGACTGGAATAAGGATGAGAAGCCCAGGAGGCAGCTGGAGGGGCAGCAGAGAAGTAGAAGACCTAGGAAAGCGTGAAGCCAGAGGGAGGGTGGGGGGCTGGGAGGAGGAGGGAAAGGAGGGGGAGGCGGGGGAGGAAAGAGGACGCACAGGAAGGGGTAGGAGGACAAGGACGGACAGCGGGGGGGGGGGGGGGGGGGGGGGAGGGGGGAGGAGGGCAGGGGTCCACGATTCAACAACTAGCAGACTGCTGGTGGCCTGGGTGCAAGCAGTTTCGGTGATATGACAGGAGAGAAACTGCAGAGGGAATGGGAAGTGGGACCTGGGAGCAGGGCTGACCTTCTCCTTCAAGACTGTAACTGTGGAGTGGTGTGTGCATGTGACTTGAAACAGGGCTCAGCCTTGTGACGTGCTTTGGCCACCGGGTTATTAGTAGACGTGACAAGTGGTGAGGTGGTGAGTGGAAGAGATTGATAAGACACAAGGAGCAAATGACAGGAGAGACTTGAGATGATTCTGATGCTGATGAGAAAGAGCCAATAAGGAAGAAGAGGTTCATGAAGTAGGAGTCGGGGGTGATGATTAGAGAGGGGCCCCTGATGAGGGGCCTTCCCTGGGTCCGGAGTGCAGAGGCAAGGGGTGGGGGGCAGGCTTTAGACAAGAGGATAGACCCAGTGCCAGTCAACCAGCAACTGTAGAAACCCAGGGGTATTCACCAGTAAGTGTCTATGTTTCCACTTGTGGAATCAACTTGGGGCCAGCTAAGCGGCTCCACTCACTGATCTTGGTGGGACTCCCCTGTCTGATTCTCGGCATTGTCAGCTCATCGGGATGAGTCTGTGGTAACTGGGGCGACTGGAGTGCCTGGGCTCTGCTCTACCTGACCCTCAACTCCATCCTGGGACCCTGGGCTAGCACAGCTTGTCTTTGCCCCGGTGATTGCAGAGGCGCAAGGGGGCAAGCGCCAATCCCCCCGCCCCCACTCCCCCCCCCATGGGCAGCCCGCTTGTCACGTCTACTAATATCCCTGTGGATATTAGTCACGTCACATGGCTGAGCCCCGTTTCAAGTCACACGCACACACCCCACCACACACTGCAAAGTGAAATGGCAGAGAGCACGGGTTCAGGGCCGGATGAAGAATTTCTTAACACAAATAAAGAGAAATACAGTTTTGACATTTTGTCAAACACAAGAAGAAAAAGAACTTTGCAAGTATCCAAGGGAAAAAGACAAATTAAAGGCTTAGCCATTCCCTCTTCCGTTCAGGCCAAGGTGCTGCTGTATTTATGTCTGGAAAGGTTAACACTCAGCTGTGGTTAATGAGTAAAGCCGTCTGGAGGAGAATCCTTTGTGATAGGGTCAGCACAACCTTATAAAACTTAATGACAGGAAAGTCGGCTTTATTGCTTTTGTAGAGAGGGGAAAAGCCCTCTACCACCTCAATGGAGTAGGTAGAATCGGCTTTTGGGTAAAAGAAAAAATATTCTCTCCAAATCTTACAAGAAAAGACTACTGAACTGTGAGAGAGGGTAAGAGTGTATGTGGGGAGACAGGAGTGTTTGCCAAAGGGAGAACAAGACAGCTGTGGGTTACGTCCACGTTATCCGTGGATAGGCAAGAAATGATCTGGATCCACAAAGTCGGACCCCCCAGGGCCAAACTGAAGGGGTAGCCCAGGGGGCAGGAAGGCAAGTCTGTGATGAGGCAGCCCTCCCCATCTGCTTCAGCCAACCCAAGTGACCATCACCTGCCTGTCTTCCTCCTTTCTATTTCCAGGCAGATCTATTCTACAAATACCTCCCCTCTACTTTAGAAGCAGGACTGAAGCGTGCTGCTGTGGGTTTTACAAACAATTAGTCAAGGCGTACATGGTTGTCCTCTGTGGATCTTGCACTGACATAAATCAGGGGTCTACCTGTGGCATCCCCTTTCCTTTGATTCAGCATAGTGTGAAATATACCCTGTTGGGGCATTGATGGAATATAGTATCTGATTTTAACTAAACTAACTCTCAGAAAATGAACACCTTGCTTTAAAAGTTCCCTGCAAAGAAATAACAGGTGAAAGATATGCACAGACAGACAATGCGGAAATGACCCAGCTGACCATTAGCCCCACACGTGAATGGGCTCCGGGTCGGCCGCCCTGCAAGGTGCAACAGTGGTGATCTGATCACTTCTGATGAGAAGGGAGCCAAATGAGAAACATGGAAACGATGAGTCTTTAAAATACATATTTACATCCACTCTCATGAATTATCATTAATTTGCCCCAAGCGCGTGTTGTACTTGAACGTACGCCACATGTGAGTAGGAAGGCACTATGAGTAGTAGAATGCCCAAAAGTTAAGCAGTCAGAATGCTTACACAAACTTCCCCAATAGCCTTGGCAATATTTTAGGTTGGGTGACACCCAAGCCAGTATTTTTTTAAATGTCCATGTACAACAGTAAAGAAACATGTTTAAGGATTTCTTAGAAGCAGAAAATCATACATCTTCTTTCTGTCTCTTTCCATCTGTGGTAAAAATGACTGAAACAGATGTGGAAGAGAATACAGCCACAAACTAGAATGGATTCCTTCCCCAGCAAATAATATTAACAGATGCATAGAAAACATGGTTGAAGGTTAGAAGAAATGTGTACAGAACAAATTATACTGAGTGGGAGGTTTGTTATGCTTTGGGGTGAAAGTACAGATGTCTGAGTTAATGGTATTACTAGGTTCTTTTTCAATAACTGTGTAAGAACTATTGTGTGTGTATGAGAGAGAGAGTCACTAACGGAAAGAGACGCGGAAGAAGATGTATTCTCCACAGAAAATGACTTCTTGAAAACTTAGTGTTACCACCAAAGGAACAGGTGGAAAAAAGAATTTTGATTTGGAGAGAAAAAAGATTCACCTGTCAGGCTACAGATTTGTGCCATGTGTGAAATTCTTTAATACATTTTTCCTAAAAAAGGTATTGCAGCAGAGGAGTGGAAGCCACAGTTTCATAGGGCAGGACTCTTAAAGCTGGATGTGTGTGTGAGTCACCTGAGGTCTTGTTAAAATGCAGATTTTGATTCAGTCACTCTGGACTGTCCTGAGATTCCCCATTTCTTTTCTTTCTTTCTTTTTTTTTTTAAGATTTTATCCCACGCAGGTACCTGAGATTCCCCATTTCTAACATGCTCTCAGGTGATGCTGATGCTGTTGGTCAATGAACCACACTTTGAGAAGTGAGACCATAAAGAAATAGAGAATGTTAGGGTTGGGATTAATTTTACAAAAATAAAATCATCTACAATATAGTAAAATCTTTATTTTGTAATGACATGTGGAGTGACGCAAACCATTTGTACCATGGAGAGTTTTGCTGGTTATCTTGTGGCAAAGTCCTTAAGAGTGGTCATTCAGGAGGATCGACAATTTTGTCAAATATCTGACCTTTTAAATAATGACAAATAACATTAGATTTCAACCTAGCAGGTAGACTACATACGTACATAATACACAGATACACCTAATCTGTTCCTCAAGGTAAAAGTGGCAATTTAACAATGACTGAGAAAGTAACTGCCCTTCAGGGGCACCTGGGTGGCTCAGTCGGTTAAGCGTCTGACGTCGGCTCAGGTCGTGATCTCAGGGTCCTGGGATTGAGCCCCGCATCCACTCCCTGCTCAGTGGGGAGCCTGCTTCTCCCTCTCCCTCTGCCCCTCCACCCCTGGCTTGTGCTTGCTCTCTGTCTCAAATAAATAAATAAAATCTTAAAAAAAAAAAAGGAAAGAAAGTAACTGCCCTTCATAAGTAGCTGGTTCTATGGAGGTAGCATTGTTTTCATCATTATGTGATGTTGTTGAACACAACATAGGGACCACCTATGAAATCCTTCATCCCTTCACATTAAGAAACTGATTTTCTAGCATTTAAAAATCAATCACACAATCTTCAACCTATTTTATAAAAATATAAAAACATAGCTATTATTCCCTCAGTGCCCCTTCTGATCATTTGTAGGAAAATCAGGTTGAGATCAGAGAACATAGAAAGGTATTAGCTGAGTTTCCACAAAAACATTTGTGTAATTGGCGAGCATGACTGAGTAATGAGTACCATGATTTGATAAGGGGCTGATGGTGCAAGCCTTCCATTTGGATCAACGAAGTACCTTTTCTCACTCTGACAGCAATTAAAACCAAGTAAGAAAACCAACCAAACTCAGAACTAGACCACTGAATGATTTTATCACAAAGTTCTAAACCAAGATTTTAAAACACAAAGCAGCATATTCAACTGCATTGTTCTCACAAAGAATATTAATAATATGTAAAAGATTTTAGTGAGAATAAAATTTTACCAATAATAAAATAATGACTTAAAAGCATTTTTTATCTTATCCTTTTTAAAGTTTATATTTTTGTATATATTTTTATGTACAGAAAACATTGGTACAGTAGTACATTTGAATAACTTATAAATACATAATATACGTTTTGAGGGTTGTTTACTTTTTAACTAATGGGGCGTGCAATACAAAAATATCAGAAGACGCTGATATAAATTAACACTATGAACTCTGGTCATTTTCCTTCATTCATTCAATGAACATTTGTTACACACAAATATTGTTTTATTTTTTTTTTTAAAGATTTTATTTATTTATTTGACATAGAAAGACACAGCGAGAGAGGGAACACAAGCAGGGAGAGTGGGAGGGGGAGAAGCAGGCTTCCCAGAGCAGGGAGCCTGATGTGGGGCTCGACCCCAGGACCCTGGGATCATGACCTGAGCTAAAGGCAGCCGCTTAACGACTGAGCCACCCAGGCGCCCCACAAATATTGTTTTAATGACTGTTGATTGCATATATATTCTAAAAGACATTTAGCCTCAGGGTGATCAGATTTTGTTAGCAAAAAAAGACAAGAGAAGAAAAAAGACAAAAGAAGAAAAAGACAAAAGAAGAAAAAATTCACCCTTTAGGTAGGATCAGGCAGTTTTGTTGTAGAATGCCCCAGGTCTGGATCATTCCTGTAGAACACTCAGCAAGCATTTATGGGATCCCCAGCAGGCCTGGTGAAGGAATGTAAGCTGAGGAGAGGATATGGTCCCAGAGATGTTAAGGTGACTCACAGCGGAGCCCTGCTGCTGATTCACAAGGTCCACCCTTTGGGACGTGCCTTCTTCAGAGGAGCTTAAATGCCCAATCAGGAGCTTTGTCTAAATGTTGCTTCATTTTTCTGTTTAAGAGCGCTGTTTCTATAGAAAAAGAGTTTCTGAGGAACTCTTATCACAAAAACACTTTGTATAAACTGCCTCTTGTGGAACCATTGCTCTGGCTTCGCTAAGATAAGTCCTATTGTACATGATCACTAGTTTAAAGAACTCCCAACGAGAAAACTGAATAGAGGGAGATATTTGACTCTTAGTTAAGGACAAGTAGAAATTACCTTCTTTGTATTAGAAAGAACCTGGGGCAGAATCATGTGTTCAGGATAAAGGAATAGGTGTTTTTCTCTCCCTTCCTAATTCTGATATAGGGAAGAGAAATAAAAGAGCTAGGATTGAGAAAAAGAGAGTTGAAACACATGGGGAACAAAGTCATTGGCGGGCTTTCGATGAGGTTAGAGCTAGGAGTGGAGAGAAGCTGTAAAGCTTTGCAATATAAATCTAGCCTGAAGGTCCAGCTCCGCACGTCAGCCCTGAGTCATAGTGACTCTAAGGTGGAATTTGTAAATAAAGTAAAAAGAACATAATAATCAGAACGTGGCTACGGGAGAAGAGTTATATTTAATGATAATTAATAACTAATAAAACAGAAAAAAGGTGCTTCTCTAAGAAAAGTGTTTGTTCTCTAAGGATAAACAGCTTTATTGTCTATTGTTTCAAGTCAGCAATTTTAAAAAAGTATACTAAAGGGCTCCTGTGTGGCCCAGTCGGTTAAGCATCTGCATGATTTGAGCTCAGGTGGTGATCTCAGGGTTATGGGATCGAGCACGGTGTCGGGCTCCGTGCTGGGCAGGGAGTCTGCTTGGGATTCTCTCTCTCTCTCCCTCTGCCCCTCCCCGTGCTTGCACGTGCTCGCTCTCTCTCTCTCTTTCCCAAATAATAAATAAATCTTTAAGATAAAATTAAAAAGTATACTAAATAATTAATAATTAAAAGGTAGAAAATAAGTTACTATAAATCTGTTAGTTTGGACATGGGCAAACATCATTTGAATCTAAAGAAAAATATTGCCCAATAAATTGCCCAAAATGATTAAGACATCTACTGCCACTTGGTGGCAATGTGTGCTAATTACGGGGAAAGAACCCACTTTTTTTTTTAATCTCAACTTTGAGAATGGAGATTCATTTTTTTCCCCCTCTTTTGTCCTGTCTTCTAAGCTGATACAGATCTTCAAAGCAGATTTTCACTGCATGGTTAATTTCTTCAACAAACATTAAGCACGTACATGCTATCAGGCACTGTTGTAGGCACTGGGGATACAGAGGTGAACTGGGGAATCAATGGCTATGCTCTCATGGTGTTTAAATTCTAGTGAGAAGATAGGGAATGAATAAATGAATGGTTTCTGATAGTGCTAAGGGCCACATGAGGATAAGACAGGGTAATGTGGTAGGAAGTAACTGGGAGAAATACTCAGAGGAGGCCTCCTTGAGGAACTGACATTCAGACTTAAAGACAAAATAGAATTCAGCCTCACAAAGATCTGAGAGAGGAGCATCCCAGGCAGAGGAAACAATACATATGAAAGCCCTAAAGGGAGAACTGTTTGCAGCGAGTCAAGGAGAGATTGGTAGTAGGTCAATTTAGAGAGAGAGGCAGGGCCTAGATTATGCAGGGCCATAAACAATAGAAAATTTGAACTTCATGCTAAGTACAGTAGGGAGCTATGGGAAATTGGAAAACAAGGGCACGATATTTTGCAGCTCCTCTCTGCAAGAGTTGGAGTGTATTTTCCCATCTCTGAAATCTCGGCTGGCCTTGTAACTTGCTTTGACCTCAGAACGTTGCAGAAATGATGTGGTAATTCCAAAGGCTCAGCGCCAAGAGGTCTCGTAGCTTCCAACTTCACCTTGTTGAAATGCTTCTGCCACCACATAAGAAATCCCAGGCTGGGCTGCTAAGGGGCAAGTGACCATACAGAGAACAAGGCCAGCCAATAACCAGCACCAAATCCCAGACGTGTGAATAAGGGGAATTTTACCTTCATGAGTCCTCACAGAGTTGCCAGATGACCACAGTGACATGTGTGAGCTCAGATAATTCCCACAAAAGAACTGCCCCACTGAGCGCAACCTAAGTTACTGATCCACAGAACTATGACAAATAAGAAATAGTTGTTTTGAGCCACTGTGTTTTGGGGTGATAACTGAAACAGAAGCTCTGGGGAAAACTCTGTAAGGAAGCCTAGGGCAGCCATGGAAATAGGGCAGCACCATGCTCCTGAACAGAGCTGGGTCTCAGTAAGAACAACTTCCAGCAAGAGGAAAGAACTTGGGAAAAGCCCATGTAGATCTCTGTGTCTGGCTGCTTTGTGAGCTAGTGGGCTCAGGGTGCTGAGCTCAGGGTGCTGAATTAGACTGAAACCTGACTGTGCCCTGGAGGCTTTGGGGCTCGTGGACACTGAGGGATGTTGAGTTGGGATTCTAGGGTCCAGAATGGAGTGGATTTTTAGATCTATCCACTTATAAAATTCAGAACCGAGTGGAGAGTGGGTATTCTGCACTCCCCACTGAAGCTTTTGAGGTCTGGGAATTAAGCAAGTTTACTGCCCTTTTACACCTTGAATTCCCTTATCTCTTAATTACTAGTGACAAGCTGCATAACCGCTTGTGGTAGAACATTTGTCTTTCCCCAGTTGGTATTCCAAGTCTATGAATTCTAGGCATTAATGAGCTAACCCAGCAGCACTGGATATTCGAGAAGAACCCACAAGCCAGGGTGTCTGGTAAAGCCCAGATTCTTCTTTTGTTGTTATTGTTGTTTTTAAAGTAGGCTCCATGCCCAGTATAGAGCCCAACATGGGGCTTGAACTCCTGACCCTGAGATCAAGACCTGAGCTGAGATCAAGAGTCAGACGCTTAGTCAACTGAGCCACCCAGGCGCCCCAAGCGCACGTTCTACGATGTTCTTTTGAAGACGGCCATGAGCTCACTGGGGAAACATCTCTGAGAACAGAAGGAGGGTCTCAGCAGCAGGCTGACACATACCCGTCTT